ACAATGGAGGTGGGTCTGATTCTCATGCAGATTATTCTAAAGCCAATGTCTTCTAAACATCTACACCTCATGGCTTTTGGCAGGGGTATACCTCAGTGAGCCTGGGAATGGGCAGTAAGCAGGGATGAGGTTTCAGTGGGGTACTGAGCAGCGTTTCCAGCTGGGATGCTGTGCACAGTACAGCTTGCAGCCACCACTGCACATCTGGAAGCTGCCAGGTGAATTTACTGCTAGGCCTTTCATTTGGAAAGCCCAGTGATTGCTTCTGGGACCTCCTCATGAGGAACCTGAAAGGGCAGGTACTTTCTGGTACCAATTACAGTTCCCATTTCAGTTTGTTTCCCACAGGGCAGTGGAGGCTGTTCTCATGCTCACCCCCACTAGAGGAATTTCAGGCTGAAAATTGCTGTGTTTGCTGTTGCTGGATAAAACATTGCAGATACTGTTGTCATATAATAGACTACAGATATTGTAGATGCAGATAACATGGTCATCTGTGTGCAGTGCAGACAAAGGCATTTTGTGTCCTTTTGTCTTAGCATCACCTGCTGTTGTCCTTGCTTCCTCACCAGGTTATTTTTGCACCTTCAGTTACTTGCTGGCTCAGGGAGGATTCTTCCCTTTCAGTTCAGACATGGACTGTCACCAGCACAGTGTTGACAGAGCCGTGTGAGTGCTGGTGCTTCTCATGGCATGGGCTCTGCACAGGTGGAGGCTTGCTTTTCACCCTAGCTGCTGCTGGAAATGATTTCATCTTCTTTAGGATGGTTGATGGTGAAGACTGAAGAGGTGGCAGAGGTGGTGGTAGAGCCAGATTTTCTTAAGTGCCTCTTTTCCCTAACCCTGGCACTATGGATCTCAGAAACAGACCGACACAAAGTGCTCTACAGCAGAGTCACTTTGCCAAGTGAACACCAAAGGGGAGGGAGGATTCACAACTGCCATTGCTATGCTCCAAGACAAAGCTGTGTGACAGAGGGCAGTGATTTGAGAGGAGAGAACTTGTGGGGAAGTGGTATCCAAGCGCAGGTCTTTAGGGATATATGCAGGCTCCTGCCTTTAACCCCTGGACAGGGGGGACTGGACAGGCCAGATTTGCCTTTCCTTGCATTTAGCTTTTTTATTCTCATAGTCCATAAAAGATTTGCTTGAAAGAAATGTTGGGAGTACACAGCCCTTGGGGACACTCACATTTTGAGGCAGAGAGATTTTGTGCAGTCGTTATAACTTAACATTTATAGCTGTCTAGGCAGCCTGTGCTTCTGCACTGAGAAGTTCCCAGTCATAGAATCATAAAATGGTTTGGGTTGGAAGGGACCTTAAAGCTCATCTGGGAGGTGGCAGATGTGGGTGGGTTAAATCTGGCCTCTTCCTCTTTATCAGACAGCAGTGCCGAGGTGTGAATACATTGAGCTTGTGTGTGAGATACTGGAGGTAAAACTTCTTACAGTCCTTGAAGGTTTATGTTCCTTGGGGTTGAGCTGTGTGGAGAAGGCTCCACTGGTGAGCTCTTGTGTGTGAGGAATGCTTTGCCAGGAGAGGTGGTGGCTGGCTTGGACCAGGTTGCATCCGCTTCCATCCTTCTTCACCCTGGCCAGCAGTGGGATTGAGGAGGGACTGCAGACTTTGAGGCATGGTTTGGAGCCTTTTCTTCTTAAGACCCTGATTCAGAACTGGTCCAGCCTCACCTCCCCAACCCTACCGACAACTGCCCACATCACTGTTAAAGGAGCTGCTGCTCCTTGCTCAGGTCTCTGCCTTGCAGAGCCTGTGTCCCATGGCAGAGCAGCAACACTCCTTGTGTTGCCTCAGCAGCCATAAACTAGGTCAAACACCACCGAAACCCTTGCTTGATATCCCTTGAACTAAATTCCTGCCCTGCCTCAGTGTGCCCTGAAGGGGGTCATGACTCACTGGCTTACTGGGAGCCAAGAAGGATGAGCAGGATTTACCACAGCTCTGTGTTAACAGAGCTAATGCAGGGAGCCCAGCCCAGCTTCACCCTGCAGGGATGTGTCCTATCCATGTGCTTCCCTTGCTGCTTCACTGGTGCTGCTGGCTGAGGGGTGACATGAGGGTGAGGATCTGTCCCATCCATGCCTGGCTGTGGCCCAGTGGTTGCTGTGCTACGTCTCACCTCTGTCACTTCTCCTCCAGGCCCCAGGGGTGCTGCAGCTGTGGGGTAACATCAAGGTGTTGCTCCTCAGCATGTGGCAGGAATTTAGCTGGCAGGAATTTAGCTAGCAGGTCCCTGCACTACCGAAGGCAATAGCAACACACCCATGCAAGTGAGTTGTGTCACTGGAGTCTGTCATATCCCAAGCCCAGAGCTTTGGGAAGCCTCAGCAGGAGTTACAGGAACATGGATCTGTGGCTGCCAGCCTGTCCTCAATGCCATCAGTGGAAGGCACAGACTAGATGTGTCCCCAGATCACTTGCAGTCTCTGTGCTGATGAAAATGCTCTGTTCTTGTGGTGAATCAGCACTGGGAGTGAAGGGGAAATGACAGCCTGAGGAGAATCTTTTCACTCTGGAGTTCTGGAGCTTTCCAGGGGAAGAAAGAAAATTGAGTTGGGGGAAATATCTGCCCACTGCTTAATGCTCGGGGAAGGCTGCAGTGTCTGGGGTCTGCCTTTCACTGAGGTGTTCAGTGAGCCATATATTTCCTGCAGCATGTCCTGACTTTTTATGTCCTGCTCGTTATGGTTCTTGTTCAAAGCCTATCACCAGATAAGTGAGAGCCACCTTTGTTTAAAGATCTGGGATGTGGGAAGGAAAGGCACGGAGTCGTGAGGCTCGGTGGGGAATAAATGCACATGGAGGAACAGCTCTACCGGAGCCTTTGGCAGTCTGTGACAGGAGCAGGGGAAAAGGCAGCAGCTGGAGCTCTGTGTTCCCAGTGACAGGGCTGGGAGGAATCACAGAATAGTTAAGGTTGGCAAGGACCTCATCCAGTTCCAACCCCCCTGCCATGAGCAGGGACACCTCACACTAAACTATGTCGCCCAAGGCTCTGTCCAACCTGGCCTTGAACACCTCCAGGGTTGGAGCATTTACAACTTCCTTGGGCAACCCATTCCAGTGCCTCACCAGCCTCACTGTGAAGAACTTCTTCCTTATATCTAACCTAAAGTTCCCCTGTTTAAGTTTGAAGCCATTACCCCTTGTCCTACCACTACAGTCTCTAACAAAGAGTCCCTCCCCAGCATCCTTGTAGGCCCCAAATCCTGTGAAGAGGACAGGTTAAAAGCCATTTATAGCATCATATTTATTTCGTAAATGTATTTATTAGTTCCTTATTTCACTTACAAGCATCCTGTCCATCTGTTGTCACAGCAGCACAATTGTGGCTTTTGGGGGGTACAAGCAGGAGGAAGTGGAGGTGCCAAATGTGGCCGTGATGGGATCAGCTCTGGGACGGCTCCCAGAGCTGGCCTGTCCCAGCAGCATGGCAGAAGCTGGGCAGTGAGAACTGCTGAAGCACCCTCACCCTGCTCTTCCTGAGCAGTTTGTGTCCTCCTCTGCGAGGAGCAGCTGAAGTACTTTCCCCTCCTCTTCCCTGTCTAAAACTGAGGGTGGCTCAGCTGTAAAGAGCAGGCAGGCAACAGAACCAGGCCACTGCTCCATTAACGTCTCACCCAGGCTCCAACCCAGTATTTCCCCTCGCAGGAGCCTCGGTGAGGGCTATTCTGTGTGCAGATACTGCACAGATGCTGCTCTGTTGTCCTGGGTTCAGCTACAGCAGTCATTTTTTCTCCTTCTTAGTAGCTGGTGCAGTGCTGTGTTTGGGACTTTCAGCCTGGGAACAATGCTGATAACACCGATGTTTTTAGTTGTTGCTAAGTCATGTTTACTCCGACCAAGGACTTTCTCAGTCTCATGCTCTGCCAGAGAGGAGGGGAAGCCAGGAGGAAGCAGAGACAGGACACCTCACCCAAACTGGCCAAAGGGGTATTCCATACCACAGCACGTCATGCCCA